CTAGCATTCTCAATGAATTGTTTTACATCATCCAAAAAAACTTCAAATTCACCAGCACAAGCCCAAATTTTGGGTAGACCACCTAATTTCTTTTCATAGATTGGTGAAATCAAAGAACATTGTGATGATAGGTTTGTATCAATCATATATTTATTAAAAGATCTCTCCAACCATTGCGTATTAATTATATCGTAACTTTTATTTTTGCTAAACGATTTAGAAGTTGGTAATCCCTAAAACATATATTTTATATATATATAGACACATGTACATTAGATATATTATATTAATTCATATAAATTAATTTTAACTTTAAATACAAGTGTGTTAGATTCTTTACCGAAAGACAAGGTGATAATAAAATAAGTGAAGAAGGTAGATCTACTGAGTACGCATAAGGATTTTGAATAAGTTCAAGCACTGAAATCACTGCTAAATTTCCGCCTACATCATCACCGGCTAATAATTATAAAATATTAGCATAATATAATATAATATAATATATATCATAGCTATGATCACTAATTATCATACTAACCAAAAACTATTTTTGAAGGATTGATTCCTTGTTCATTCACCAACCATTCATAACATTCCAACATGTTATCTCTTGCTCCAGGGAATGGATTTTTAGGTGCCAGCCCTTTAATAATATTAGAAAGAAATAAAGAAATAAAGAAGAAATAAAAGTGTAAGGAATAGGGAATAACTAATTGATTGATTAATTTTATTTTTTATATATGAATAGTAATTGATTATCAACCGTATTCAACCGATAATATCTGGGTTGTAGTTCCATAAGTTGATTTCCATGTTTGAATCCAATCGATAAATGTTGTAAAATGAAGTAATGCTCCTCCCGTAACAAATCCGCCACCTATTATTTTCGAAATCAAAAATAAATATATATTTACACCACAAGATGATCACATCACGTGCAAGTATTTACCATGTGCGTATAAAATCACCACATCAGCATCTTGACCAACATCCAATTTTTCAGCATTTTCAGCAATAAAATAACCTCTCCAATTAGCATCTTTAATCTTTAATTTACGACACCAATAACTACGTTTAGAACCTCCCAGCCATAACCCATTGAGGATATGATTATTGATAAATCCGAATGAATAAACCAGACTTCTAACCATCCATAACGGTAAAGTTTCAAGAATTGTGCTTATGATTGTGGAAATGTATCTTTGATAAAGTGTTGGTTTATTTTCACGACTGAAAAATGTTGTTACATATTTGAAAAAATCAAGAGGAAGTCGTACATCTGTTTGTTATATTTATATTATAATTAATT